TTTTGCGCTACGTCTACGTGTGTCTTATTTCCTTTGTCTCTACTTTCCCTCGTATCTGTCTTACCGCATGTCTGGTGGTGATTTTTTTAATTTTTTATCTTTCTCTGCTCACAAGTTGGGACTTCGGTGCAGTTTTCGTGCTCACAGTTCGGACTAACGTTTCTTACTCTCCATCATGAGTACCTGATGTGCATCATCAGCCACTTGCACGTCAGATTCATCCCTTGTTGTTTTTTTTTTCTTTTTTTTTTTTAAAGCGTGACGGCCTTGAGATATCACTATTGAGCTGACCGGCCCCGGGGAATTCAGAAATATGTCGTTTTACTCATCATGTTCCGTCATCTTGATTCGAACTCGGGTCCGAATTTCAACAGTTCATGCATTGGGTGTATGCACTGAGATATATATATACAAGTAATGTTTCAGGACCGGTAGGGTTACGTGGGGAGGGTGGGGGGGTGTTATGTTCGGTGGAACCCCGGAAGTGCATTTTCAAACTGTTTTCGTGACTGGGCCGTAGTAGCCCACCAGAAAAAGAGAGAGAGTGAAAAGAAGCGGTGCCGACTAACCAACGTTGCATGCCGTCCGTTGCAGGTACAGAAGCGTTATGCTTTCGGGGAAACAGCAGTAACGGTAAGTGAGGCAAACGGAGGCAAACGGAGAATAACAGTGGCTAGTGGAGGCTAGCCGAGGCCGAAGTGGCAATACACGAACAGCTAGGACGGACAAGAACAGAAGCGTTATGCTTTCGGGCGGGGCGGCAATAAGGGTAAGGGAGGGAAACGGAGGCAAACGGAGAGTAACAGAGGCTAGCGGAGGCTAGCCAAGGACAAAGTCAGAATACAAAAAAGCAAGGGCGGACAGAAACAAGCACGTGCTGCTCCACTTGATGAAGTTGATGTCCATCCGCTGGCCCGCTGGGTCGTATTATTTTTCGTCAAATTTTCTTATATGCTAAATTAAGGGGCTAAAAATTAAATACACCTTTCTCAGTCTTTCTCTCTTTCTTTCTTTTTTTCTTTTTTTTTTTCTTTTTTTTCTTTTTTTTTTGGCTGAGATCAACTGTAGTATCCGTTCCGAGCAGTCCGATTTAGAAGAACAAAAAAAGAAAAAAACTTTCTCAGACTTCTGGCTAGAACGCAAAAAAAAAAAGGCACAAGTGTTGGAGTGTCTTCCGCTTAATATCCCGTCCGTGCTCCATCAGGCCAAAAAAAAAAGAGGGAAGAAAAAGAATCATGTCCATGGACAGCTCACACGGATGTGGGTGGAAGGCCAGTATCTTCCTGATTGCCGGTATGGTATTCCTGCTGGCCACGTGGCAGTCTTGCACTGCTGCATGCGTTCTCAATGGGAACACCCCTCACACATTAGAGGACCACCACGTGGCAGTTGCCCCCGGCAGGCTTTTGCATCAATGCTTCTCCAATCAAGACTGCGACTGGGGCTGCACGTGTCTCAATGGCCTTGCTTTGAATATGTGGGCGGGATAATTGGTAGAAAGAGCCCACGCCAAAACCTTTTCGGTTTTGGCCGCCCAAAGTTCGGCCGTTTGGTACTACCGGCCCAAACAACTTTCCCCTGGGTGAAAGGCGCGAAAGGCGCCTTCGCGCCGTGGCCGCATCTTCCTGGGCCTGTTTTTTACACGTTCAAGAATTTCGAGCTGTTTCTGCGCCAGATTCATGACCCGGTAGGGCCCTTCTTTTTCAAAATCGCGTACGCGGGCCTCATTCGATACTTCAGCGTTACCACCCCCGGCCTCTTTCACATCAAAAGGAATTTGGCGCTGTTATGCGCCAGATTCAAGATCGATACTTCAGCGTTACCAACCCCGGCCTCTTTTACATCAAAAGGAATTTGGCGCTGTTATGCGCCAGATTCAAGATCCGGTAGGACCCTTGGAGCGACGCGTGGGCTGTAGTACCAAACGGCTAAACTTTGGCCTGGTAGTACCAAACGGCTAAACTTTGGGCGGCCAAAACCGAAAAGGTTTTGCGTGGACGCCTTCTACCGATTCTCCCAAAAATGACGGGATACCGTGTGTTCTATTCGGGGAAGAAGGTAGCTCAGTTGGTACGCCCTGTTCGGTTCATCTTTCAGTCCAGCTGCAGCGAAAAATGACCTGTTCACCTTTCTTGGCCTTTTGGCTAAGATCAAGTGTAGTTTCTGTTCTGATCATTTTAATATCTGATCCGTAGTCCATCGGACCACACGAAAAACTAATAATAATTAAAAAAAAAAAAGAAAAAAAAAAAGACCTCTTCAAACGCGGACCCACGTTCAAATCCAGGCACACAGTCAAATCACCAGGACAAACTAATTCTTAATTACCTGGGGCTGATCACTTCAACGATGATGTCTACAAAAAAAAAAAAAGCAGTGAATGGCATTGTCTCTTCTTCTATTCCCCTACGCTTTTTTTTCCCGTCCCGTCCCCTTTCCCGTGTGGCACCACGGCCCGCTCCTGCACCTATGACACCTGCCTGTGCCTCTGTCATGGCCGCCGTGCTCTCATTGCTTTTTGCTATTTCAAACTCGGCGGCTGTTTGTTTTGCCCACTCGGAACTCTGTTGTGCCATCAACGTACTTGCCCCTTCTTTTTTCATTTCATTTTTTTTTCTGAACCTGACCACGATACTGGATCTGTTCATGTGCTCCTTGCTGATGTGGCTCAACCTCCACAGTCTGCCCAATCAATCAATCACTGCCCCGGACGTGTGGTGAATGAGGCGACGGCGCTACTTAATAGGTCATCAATAGCCGGGCTTCACTGCAGGCTGCTGACGTGGCAGACTTATCTAATCTAATCTGATCCAAGTGGTGCTGACGCGTCATCCGAGAACCACCGCGATGAAGCCTGCCCAGCGATCGGCAACGTCATCCTCTCGAAGCTCGTGGAGGAGTCCTCTGCCCCTGGGCGTCATGATTGCCCTCCTCCTGCTTCTGCTGGCCCTGCTCAGCTCGCTGAGCAGTGCCGCTGCAGCGATGCACGCCAGCGATCTCGGTGATTACCCAGGTGTTGCTGGTAGCCATGACGGTCATCAAGCTGAACTGGCTGCTGAATCAGATGCTACTCATCACCAACAAGGTCCAGGCTATGGCGGGCCCAGTGATGGTGCAAGCCCAAACGATAGAACTGCGGACCTGTCGGCTCGTCGCAGTCTCCGCTGCCATTGTAAGTGGTGGAAGGAGTGCTGCAGGCCCTTATAGTATAGTATCGGCTCTCCTGCAGTTCTTTCAGAAGAAAAGAAAAAAAAGGTAATAGCTCCTGAAGGAGAGTGACGGTGGGCTATGACACTACACAGCATACTAAAGGTATCTGGACCTGTTCGAGCTCCGAGACATTATAAATGTTGGATCAGTCCAAATGTATTTGGTCTACAAATGCTGAGTAGTGGAGCACCTGAGCGACGACGTCCATGGAAGGCGGAAAAAAAAAGAGAGCGTCTCCCAACGGAGGAACTCGGAATGAGACCCAGATTCAATTTGGGAGCGTGTGTGTCTTTGACATTGTATGTGTGTGTGTGTGTGTGGGTGACAGCCGGTGATGACGAGCACCAGGACCAGAACCAGGACAAAACTTCTCACGGCGACCGCCGCATCCTCCGACTCTGGGAGTCTGAATTCGGGACTCAGAATGCCGGAACCGGAATTGTGGGACCTGAATTTGGGACACTGAATGCTGGACTTAGGTGTGCGTGAGTGACTGTATGATGACCGGGACAAAATTGCCTCCTACTGAGGCACTCTTAGTTTGGGAATTGGAATGTGTGACTCGAAATTGCAATTGACTCACTCGCGGGGCGCAGCCCGTAAGTGTGTAGCGGAGGGATGGGCTGTATGAGGCCAGGGGCCCAGTTGCAGTTTAGACAATGGCCTTGTAGTAGCTATAGGGAGGCCCAGTACAGGAGGTCTAACAGTGCGGCTGCGGGCATTGCGCGTGCCCAGTTGCAGTTTAGACAATGGCCTTGTAGTAGCTAAGGGGAGGCCCAGTACAAATTTCGTGGGGGTGTCTAACAGGGGGGCTGTATGAGCTCGGGGGGTTCAGTGGTAGCCAAGGGTAAGGCGTAGTGGTACGTGGAGACGAAGCTGTACCAACCTGACCCACATTGTCAGCAACCCGACCCAAACCATGCAGCCATGTTTTCTGCACCTTCTCGTATGCTTTTCATTTCATGAACGTCCATCCTTCATTCCTGATATAACAACACCCCTTCCACGACCACACTGTAGTATTGCCATGCACCAGCCTCATGACCACACCAACTGTTCACAGAGATGACCTAGGAGGTGGGCAGGCATATTGCTCTTCAGTGCTAGGAGGTGGGCAGGCATATTGCTCTTCAGTGCTAGGAGTTGGGCAGGCATATTGCTTTTCAGTGTTGTTGACAGATCATGAAGAGTGACGCCAATAGGGAACCAAACAGCATTACGCTTCAGACATGATGATATGGACAATATCGCGAAAGATAAGAAACGAGTGTGTATTGGGCGAATCCGATGTGCTTGCCAGTGCAATGTAGTTTGTGCTTCTCTTGATGTTTTGACCAATGCATGCAGAATTTGTGAGTTGTACTCCATTTCTCAATGATTTGTTCTTGTTGACTACAACCTTCCTTAGCCTGTTTTGCTGCCCATCTTGATCGCTTTTTTGCGGGTACGTCAAAGTCACAACCCATGTCCAAAATGGGCAAAAAAGACACAATCTGGCAGATCTGTCTGGGCCTGAATTCCACAAGGCAGTTAAAACTCAGACCGGTACTTCAGACAGGGCAGTCTGAGTATCTGGCAGGCTCCATCTATTGGTGAGGAGCAGCAACTGCTGGCTGTGTATCCCCCCGTATGAATACGAACTGTTTGAACGGTCAATACGGCTGTACGTACGGGCCCCCAGGCGGCCGTATGGGCCGTACGTACGGGGGCTTCCCGGGGGGGGGGGGTTGCATATCGGGGGCTACCCCCCAAAGTAAAAAGAGACAGAAAAAAAAAAGTTTGTTCGGGGGTTGGGTGGGGGGGTGGGGGGATGGTCATTAATTAAAAAAAAAAAGATTGATTAAAAGATTGATTAATTGATTGATTGATTGATTGATTGATTCATTGATTCATTGATTCATTGATTGATTGACTGATTGATTGACTGATTGATTGATTGATGATTGAATGATTGATTGGTTGATTGAACGACCATTTCGTCAAAATGGACATTTTTTATTTTTTTTAACGAAATTGAAACTGAGTGTTTTGGCCAAAAACTCATCAAAATTTGTTGTTCCTGAGGGTCCAGCGTTTGTAAAATGCTGGACCCTCAGGAACAGCAAACTTGGACAAGTTTTCGGCCAAAACACTCAGTTTCAATTTCGTTCAAAAAATAAAAGATGTCCATTTTGACGAAATGGCAGTTATTGGTTGATTGATGATTGATTTAGTAATGGAAAGGAACAAAAAAAAAGAAAAAAAATAATGCCAGAACCTTCTTTTTTTGTTTGATTGATTGATTGATTGATCGATTGGTTGGGGGAGGGTCGTCCCCCCCCCCCCTCCTGGCCCACACACACACACAAACACACGCACATGCACATACCCACGCACACGCACATGCACATACCCACGCACACACACATGCACACAAACACACACACACACACACACACACACACACACACACACACACACACACACACACACATACAAGCATATAAAATAAGTTTAAATAAAAAAAGCTTAATAACAAATTCAAAACTAAAAATAAGAGTTAAAAATAAAAATAAAAAATAAAAATAAGATCAGGGTTACCTGACCGAACGTTCGGGGGCCCCCCGGCTGGCCCCCGAACGTTCGGGCGTTCGGGGTCCCGTTCAGGGGCTGAACACCTCCAGGTTCGGGCCCCGCCAAAATTTTTTTCGGGGCCTAACAATAAGTTTGTTTTTCTGAATTTTGTTTTGTGACTTCTCTATGATGTAGTCTACACGCCTATAATTTTTGAAGCCATTCTGCTAAGCCAAAAAAATATTAAAAATCGTCAAAGATGGGGGTGTCAAAACGTGCTCGCCCACTCACTATTTTTTTTTTTTTCACTTTTAACTTTTTGTTTTCACTTTATTTCGGGGCCTAAAAAAAATTATTATTTTTTGAAACTTTTGTAATGAGTTATTGATTATGTAAAATACATATCTGAAACTTTTCAGGGCATTTGTCAATGCCAAAAAATAATTAAAAATCGGCAAAGATGGCGGTGTCGAAAAGGTGCTGCCACACTCACTCATTTTAATTCTC